TGAGCGCGTAAAATCCGCAGCTTGCACTGTATGCTTCGTCGGAAGCTGAGAATGTTTCTGAGTGTTCTCAGAGGGTCTGCTGGGGTAATAATAGTTGTAAAGCATATAGAGCATGCTCTTGAGCATGGATATGCGCTATATAAATGCAATTATTATTATTATTATTATTATTTTAATCTTAAAATATTTTTCCACTCTGTCTATTCCAAAGCGACATTAAGCGGCATGCATTCTTCTATTCATCTTAGCTTTTGTTATCGCCTATATTCTGTCTCTTATTTTCTTTTTGTTTAGCCTTAGAATTGATTATATTATTTAGTCCCGGTTGTTGGCTGGTGCACTGGTGTGGGTTACTCCTCTTTTCTATCAAACATCTATCGTCCTTATCTCTTCACCATATGAATTGTTGTGTCTATTCCTCTCTCTTACTAAAACATCTTTTTTCAATTGAGAAAGTGACATGAAAACGCACATGTGTCGATTTCCTACCCACCTGGTTTAGTGCGGCAAAGCCGGATTGAGGCAACATGCCCCTGGAATTATCTGACTTTGTCGGTAGGGGTTTATCACGTGTATTTCATTACGATCATAACCCCCTCCCCCACCCCCTCAGCCCACTTTGTGAAGGTGTTACGAATAAGTTAGCTCTGGAGTGTTAGCAGAAGACGTTCAACCCTTCTGCTAGCACAAAAAAGGACACGCGTGTGGAGTCGGAATGGGGAATTTTGTTTTTTCCTCTTAGAGATTGTAAGGCGCACAGAGCTTGCTGTTGATCGGGAATTCGCGCCTTACAAATGCTATTTAATAATAATTAATTGTAAATAAAAGTAGAAATAACAAACAAACAAACACATAAGTTACTAAACCAACCAACCACCCAAAGTGGGTGGTTGGCGGGTGCTCTGGTGTGGTTTGCTTCTTCTTTCCTATCAAACATAAATCGTCCTTATCTCCCCTTTTTCTTTTTAATGTTTGTTACTCTCTTGTAACAGCTCTAATTTTCTGGCACTCATATGACCTGGTGCAGTTGCGAGCGCCGTAAAACCTCTACTAAAACTAAACAGTCGCACAAACAAACATAACAAAAAAGAGTTGACCCACGTTTCCCTCCGTCCGCAGGCGTAGCGTAGGTCTGTGGTAAGGCTGTGTGCTATCGCGTGCAGACTCCGGGGAGCAGTGTAGAGGCGTGCGGGACAGGTCAGACGAAATGGCGGCCAGCAGGTATGAAGAGGAGATTGAACTCAGGACCTTCAGGAAGGACCTGGACGAGGTATGTCAATTATTGTCGTGTCATGTCATGACGCTTCTGACGTGGAATTTTGGCTTATTTTGTTTGCTGTTCGTTTGTTCGTTTGTTTGAGGTGGTTTGTCGACTTTGACTTTGATTGTATTTCTTATACGGACATGATCGGTCTCTCTCTCTCTCTCTCTCTCTCTCTCTCTCTCTCTCTCG